GATAGATAGATAGATAGATAGATAGATAGATAGATAGATAGATAGATAGACAGATAGAAATAGACAGACATATAAACAGATACAAAGACAGACAGACAGGTCTAGAACTAGAGTGAACCTCTGAGGTCATCCTAGTTCAATTCACTTGATTTACAGATGAAGAAACTGAAGGCCAAGGAGGCTGTGACTTGCCCAAGGTTACAAAGTCACAAAGGTCATAAGTATCAGAGATGAAATTTGAACTCAAATCCTCTAACTTCAGAACTTTTTTCACTGCCTCTAGATATGCATGTGTGTGTATGTATGCACATACTAGAGGATGCAAAGTGTCATAGTGAATAGAGTGCTAGAGTTCAGGAAGAACTAAGTTCAAATCATACCTTAGACACTGGCTATGTGACTTTCTTAGCCTGAGTTTCCTCATCTGTAGAATGGAAATTTTAAAAAAACACCTTCCTTGCAGTGTTGTTGTTAGTATCAAATGATATAACATATGTAAAGCACTCTGCAAACCTTAAAGCAACATATAAATTCTGGCTATTATTACACATTATAAATATAAGAATATTCATCTTTCATGAGTCATTATCTAGTGCCCTCAAAAAGCAAGTCTGCTTATTAAAATGAGTTTCCAGATGGTTAATCACATAACTACCAGAGTTACGTTATATGATTCCATCAAAACATCATCTTACAAGTTTCCCGGCAAGTGATCCAGGTGTAGGAGTCTTTCTCAACTGGCCTAATTTCCCTAGCTTGCTAACAGTATCGCTTCAACTGAGCCTCACAGAAGACCACTACACTACATCACACAAGAACTCACAGGAGTTCTACATGTTTCTTCACCATGGGATTTATAGCAGCTGCAAGTTTGAATTTCAAAAATATTTTTGGTCACTAGAGAAATCATGCTGAACTCATTATTACTGTTATCTGTGAACGGAAACAAGGAGTCATTTGGAGATGTCATCGCAGGGGAATAGATAATTCCATAGCAGCATGGGGACCTCTGTCTAGATGTCAGCTATCCAAAACCCCAACAAAATGTCCAGTGGAGAGAAGCAAACTTGCTTACACTCATCCAGGAAGGAGACTCAGTGAACTTAGTTTGGTGCCAATGTTTCAGCTGAAAGTGAACTATCTGGAGATGACTTGCTAGCATCATGATTCTTATTTTTTCTTGATAGGGTCCTAAAAAGGAGGAGTGTAGGGAAGAAACATACTTTTGCTTTTATCCTTTCCTCTAGCACTGCTCTTAAAACAGAACTTTTATCAGGACTCTATTATAAATACCAGTAAATTATCTTTGGTCCAACCCCAGCAGAAGGCCTGCCTGCCTGCTTTCCAGAAATGAAGCTTTTAAAAATGAAAATACATTTTGAGTTTTTGAATTTAAAAAAGAATAACTTTGTTCTTATATTTCTACAAAAATCCTTCATGTCACATAATTTTCTCAAGTCACCTATTATTATGAAGTGATCTATTGAAGGTGTCAGTTGAATAGGTTATTAGATGTTAATGCAAATAAATGATTAAAAATTAAACTCAAGAAGAATGATTTAAAAAGTCAGAATTTGGTAGGGGAAAACATCTACACCTATGATTTCATGGTTTTAGCAAACTTCCAGTAAACTTCCTCCAGCAACACAGGTCAGCAACTCATCTACAATTTATAATCAGAGAGAATTGCTTTACACATTGACTGGTTAAGATACTTGCCTAAGGTGGTAGAGTTACTATATGTCAGAAGTTGGATTTGAGCCTAGGTTTTTTCAGACTTTAAGGCTGCTCTGTCTGTCCCTTATCCCATTTGGTTGTTGTTCAGTCATTTCAGTCTTGTCTGACTCTTCATGGCCCTATTTGGGGTTTTCTTGGCAAAGATACTGGAGTGATTTGCCATTTTCTTCTCCAGCTCATTTTGCAGATGAGGAAACTGAGGCAAACAGGGTTAAGTGACTTGCCCAGGGTCACACAGCTAGTCAGTGTCTGAAGCCAGATTTAAACTCAGGAAGATGAGTCTTCCTGACCCCAGGCTCAGAATTCTATCCACTGTGAGACCTTTGTTGCTGTTTAGTCATTTTTCAGTCCTGTCTGACTCTTGGTGACCCCTTTTAGGGTTTCCTTGGCAAAGATTCTGAAGTGGTTTGTTATTTCCTTCTCCAGCTCATTTTACAGATGAGGAAACTGAGGCAAAGAGGGTTAAATGACTTGCCTAGGGTCACTCAGCTAGTATGTGTCTGAAGCCATATTTGAATTTATGAACATTTTTCCTGATTCCAAGATAGGGTTCTATCACTGCCACCTAGTTGCCCTACCCCATGCTACCTGTCTTAAACAAAAGAAAACAGACCAAAAAGCAAACAAAAAATAATAAACTTCAACATTAGATGAATTAGGGCTCTAGATTAGATGTCTCAGAGAATTCCAATTCATCAGATTCTAGAAAGAGAGCTGATTTCCACGTTTAAAAAGGAAACTGGGGCAGCTAGGTGGCGCAGTGGATAGAGCACTGGATTCAGGAGGACCTGAGTTCAAATCCAGCCTCAGACACATAACACTTACTAGCTGTGTGACTCTGGGCAAGTCACTTAACCCCACTGCCTAGCCAAAAAAAAAAAAAAAGCAAACCAAAGTGAGTAAAACTGGATTAAAAGAAACATTCTGACAAAAAAGAGAGGAATTGTTCTTTAAATCCAAAAGAACAAGTGGAAATAATGGATTGAATTAATTAATTCATTAATGAAAGTGAATATTGTATTTTATTAATGGGGGTTTAAATGAATTTTTTTTAAAAAAAAGGTAATTGAATTTGTTTTCAGTTTCTCCGTACTAAAGGAAGCAATGGAAGAACAGAGACATGTAAAACACAGATAGATGCCAAGAGGAGCCAAATGTGGACAAATTTAATTAGGAATGTTCACATCTTCATGCCCCAATATTTAAAATCCTAGATAAGTAAAATAAACATCTGAAATCACTGCATAGCCCCTAATTATAATACTGGTGAGAAATAGAAAGATTTTCTAAGGTGCTATCACAGACCATATACTCGCAAAAGAGAAAGGAGCCAGAATTGGAGTTTACAAATAGAAAACAGCCAGGTGCAATTGAAAGAGCACTGGCCTGGGAAAGCAAGAGATCTGGTCTACTTTCTGTCACTAACTCACTGTAAGGTACTCTATCTAGAGCCTCATTTTCTTTATGCAAAATGAGGAGGCTGGCACAGATAATTGCTAAGATTCTTTCTAACTACCATTCAATAGATATTCAATAGGAGTATATAGCTCTGATTGAGATGATTGTTAAATTTTCAGTGTAAGTGAGCATTTACACCTCAGAAATAAACAAATACTGCAAATCAGGACTTGATTTATTGTCCTGTTGATTTCCAGATTTAAGAAAATGATGGAAAAATGTTAATGATGCATATTAAACTGTTATGTCTCTCCCTCTGTCTCCATCTTTCTGTCTCACTCTCTGTCTCTGCCTCTCAGTGTCTCTGTCTCTGTTTCCTTCTCTGTCTCTCTGTCTCTCTCTGTCTCTCTGTCTCTGTCTCTGTCTCTCTCTTCTTTTTAAATAAACTCACCAGAACTCATACATTCAAATGAGAATTATCTTTCCAAGTTGTCGCTTTAGGAAATTATACTTACTCCAATGAAGTTGCCTTTGATCAAAACATGGGTGAACTCCCTTTTGGGGAATTACATTTTTGGAAGCAGCTTGGTATAGTGGGAATAGATCCTGAAAGATTTCAGTGTGAGTCCAGGTGTTTCAGAGTGGCTCTACCACTTACTAGGCATCAAGCCGTGGTCAAAATATTTAATATCTCCAAGCTTCAGTTTTCTCACCTATAAATTGGTGAAAGCACCTGTCTTGACTCCCTCACTAAATTCTTATGAGGATCAAATGGGAGGCTGTTTATGAAAACTCTTTTTATAACAGTACAGTAGAAAGAGGACTGACTGCAGAGTCAGAGGATGTGAGTTCAAAACCCCTCTGAAACAGTTCTTGTGTGATCTTGCACAAGCCTTTCCAATTCTAGGCTTATGATTCTATATTCTACAAATCACTATAACTGTGGGATTTAATTCAACAAGCATGTAAGGGAAGACCATCTCATTTCTTTGTAATCACGCTTCATTTTTTGATGAAAATTGTTATTCCCTAGTTTGATATTCAGATGTCTGCTATTGACTTTTTTTCCTTTGGGGATAGACAATCAGGGTTAAGTGACTTACCCAAGGTCACACAGACAGTAAGGTGTCTGAGGTCACATTTGAACTCAGGTCCTCCTGACTCCGAGCTTGGCGCTCTATACATTGTACAACCTAACTGCCCCTCCTACTGACTTTTGTCGGTTTCTAAAATCAAATCTCCCCCCAATCCTTGCCTCCTTGAACCCCAAGGACACATATATTCTGTTAGTGCGGACATTTAAAAGAATATGCTATAGGCCCTCAATACATTTCCAAAGGAAGACCAAAGAATTTAATGTGGGATAGCAGGATCATGAATATAAATGCCCAGCCTCCTTTGAAGGTGTCTGCTCCCCTTGGGATGTGTAAAGTCCGGCATGTTTGTCTTTCCCCAAATCAATCACATTCTATTCCCCACCCGCAGTAGAATACTGGCTCTTTGAGGGCAGGGGTTGGTTTATTTTTTGGCATTGTATCCCCTGCACTAGCACAGAGCTGGGCTCCTAGGAACCACTTACATTTCTTGAGGCGGACTGATTTGTTTTACACTACTGTGGCAGCATATTATAAGTCCTTGAAATGGTTTCATAACTTTCCCCACAACATTTCACTGAAGCACTGAATAGTGAGAAACAGCACCATTTTAGAAAACCATGAACCCAAAAGTCCCCATTAGGACAATTTGTCCTCACAGAAAGCAAGAGATGCAACCAATTTTCTAAATCTACAGTAACATAAAATGTGGGAAAATGATTTTCTTCTTTGAACAGAGCTTTCAAGCCACATAATTCTCACTCTTTTTAAGAGAAAAGCAAATCAGCAGTTTTGCTCTGCCAATATAACTGTGGATTCCTGGATTCTCCTTATGCCTCAGAACACATTCTCTCTAGCCACATGAATTATTAAATACATTTAAAGCCTCCCAAGTATAAACCTTGTTCCTGTGTACCTTTCAAGATGATCAATTAGATTTAAACAAGATGATAGAGGGGATGGAAGAGACCTTAAAGACCATCTGGTATAGCCCATTTTACAGATGAGGAAACTGAGGAACAGAAAGGTGAAACAACTTGACCTAAGTCAAACAAGTGATTAAGGATTAGTGGAGAGCAATAAAAAGATTATTTTCAAGTTCATGATTACCAAAAATGTAGGATATCCCTCTCCTCCCATTCATGAGCTATTTTATATCTGTTAGAAATAAATTTTTATCAATGCCCACAGACTCAGGACATTCTCATTCTAAAGTCAAGCCAAGTCAACAAGCATTTATTAAATATCTACAACATGCCAGGTACTGTACTAAACACTGGGGACATAAGCAAAGGCAAACAATAGATCCCTGCTCTCAGGGAGCTCACATAATTTCTTTTAAAAAAAATATTAACATAATTTGGTTATTTCTTTCAAAAAATCTCCATTCCCTCAACATTATTAAATATAATAGAGATAATTGTTTTAACTCCTTCCCACCTTTGATTTCTTGCGTGTAAAAGATTCATAAAAGATCCCTTTTTTTAAAAAAAAGGTTATTCATTCATATGTCATTTGGGCAAAGCCTCATAAAAATCAAAGTGAAAGAGAGCTCACATGTTTCTGTTAAGGTGTTAAATAAACCAAGGTTTTATTTTGTTTTCTTTTTTAAAAAAATTAACTCAAATTAAGCAGATGAATTTGACTTTCTGAATCTGTAACTTCTGATCTCTCCGTGGGATGCTCAGAAAGATTTTGTCTAATACCACAAAATCCACCAGTCTAAGCAGTTTTCATTCAGATCAGTGTTCTGAAGCCTTGTCTTCTCTTTTCTTTTCATTTTAATAGAAACTCAAAATTGGTACATCTTCATAAACAAAGCCTAGTGGACCCACATTTCAATAAAGTTTGCTATACCGAGCCCAAAGAAAGCCCACAGTGCCACCACCCTTCGCTTTGCTTCCAACAAAGGGCTTACCCAAGAAAAGAAGGGTCCCAAGCGCAGCAGTTCCAGTGATAAATATGACCAAGGCAACTCGAATGGCTTTGTTGGCCGCCTTCCCAGTGCCTTGCTTTGCATTCTTGCCAGCCTCTGCTTCCATCAGATGAGCTCTAGACAGGCTTCTGGAAGAAACTGGCTTTCCTTTGGTTGGTGATCGATCTCAATATGTTAGTAACTACCTGCTTCCATGGGCTTGCTCACTCCTTGTTGTTTTCGTTATTGACAACTTAAAAATACATTCCTGTTAGCAAGTCTCTCTTTGTCCTTTTCTCTCAGGCAATTAAAAAAAATAAAAACAAATCTCCAAATATTGATCCTTCTAGGGATCACTCTGGTTATGTCTGGTAAAACAGAGAGTGGCTATTTTATCCACGTCTCTGTGAACCAGCTGTTCGTCAGTCCTCTTTATCAGGAGTTCTGAGTGTACATGGTTTACAATGTTAGTGAACAGATGTTTTAGCTATTTAAATGTATAGCCACTTAGAAGAGGGAAAAAAAAACACAACACTTGTATTTATCAAATCTGGACTCATGTCAAAACTCCTGGAAACCACAAGAATGACAGGCCAGGATTTTCTCTACCTACTCAGAGAACTCAATTAACCACTGACCTCAGTTCCTTCTTTTTGCTGCAGTCATTCAGCTTGGCTGATTGGTCTTTATCAAAGAGATGCTGCTAGTGTGTGATTCTCTTTTTAAAGCTTCCTAAGAGTTCTTGGGATATCCTGTAGCACTTTATTTTAGGAACTTTTTGTATGATTGCATGTGCCAAAAATCGGTCATACTCAAGGGCAGTGCAAAGTAGCAATTAAGACAACCTACCAAGGATGGTGTTTTAACCTCCAAAAAAAAAAAATTGGTGGGGGGTGGATAAAAGCCATCCTCCCTCTGGTACTATGAATCTTAAAAAGACTCCAAGCATATGAATTCAGTCCTTCAAGAGCAATTTCAGAAAGAGGAAAGGGTGAACTTATTTACATTTTCTTCAGCAATGTTCCTAAAAATACACCCATATATTTTTCCTTCCAGCCAGGAGGAGGTATTCACTGGTTAGTGAATTTGTTTAAAGAAGAAGAAGAAGAACAACAACAACAACCGTAACAACAAGCTGTATTAAAAATTCACTCTAATAGTTTCTCCAAAACAAATCTGAAGATGTTGGTTTTATTTGGAAGACAAGCCATTGGTCTTAAAAATCTTTCCTCTTGGGTTGTTTGATTAAATTTAACTAGTATGTATTAAGTTCCTACTACATACAAGGCACTGTGCAAGGTGGTAGGGATAAATGAAACATTCCACGACATCAAGGAGTTTATATCATTCTACTGGAGCGGGGTGTGTGTGTGTGTGTGTGTGTGTGTGTGTGTGTGTGTGTGTGTGCGCGCACGTGCACGCAATAGACACAGGTTAAGTCTATATAAGATATGTGTTAACGCATGCACACATGCATGCTTCTGCCACACATAAACACACACACACAGAATAATTCAGGAGGCAGGAGGAGGGCCACTAACAACTGAAAAAATCAGAAATGCCCTCATACAGGGACATGGCACTTGAGCTTCACTTTGAAGGAAGCCAGGAATTCCAAGAAACAGAGTAAGAAGGGAGGGCATTCCAGGCTTGGGGGCACAGTTTATCCTTTGCAAAAGTAGAGTGTGGGAGGGAGGCCTTCCCATTTCAAGTCAATGTCCCTGGATGGAAAGACACACTAATAATCCATTTAAGGGGAGGCAAATTGGGGATAATCAATCTGAAACAAGCCTTGTGGTCATGAAAACCACATACTTTGACATAGATTTGCTGTGTGATCCAGGGCAAGTCACTCAATGTTTCAGTGCCTCCAGGCACCTCTCTGAGAATATAAATTGTAAAGATGGTATTGATTTTCATTAGTAGAGGCACTTTCCTCACTGGGAATTCTCTACACCCATGAAATCTCAAGTCTGAACAAAAATAACAACAACAACAACAATAATAATAATGATGCTGCTGCTGACGATGATGAGGATATTTGTTGACGGGAGCCATTGGTGGGTTTCAGGACTGGAGCAAGGAAATGAGCAGCTGATGGTGTTGGTGACTAGAAGACTTCAGCCTGCCCCAGTACTCTATCTACTGCACCACCTCACTGTCCTAAGAAGAGGCTACCTGACTGCTTTTAGGTGTGGGTTTGACTAGATGGCCAGTAAAGATCTTTCGAAATACCCAAAGCAGTGATTGCACAAAACCTCTCCCATCTCCAGTCCAACCTTTACACAGCTATCAAAGTGATATGACCAAAATACAGATGTGACGCTGTCACTCCCCAGCTCAATAAATACTAGTGGCTCCCTATTACTTCCAGGATTAGATACAAACTCCTCCCATAAAATCCTTCACAACCTGGCTCTATCTTATGTTTCCAGACTTATTATACAACTCTCTTTCACAAAATACATTCTAGTCAACTCCTTCTCCATCTCTACCCCTTCTGCTGTTCCTCAGAACATGAAAGCTTATGTTCTTGTGTCTTTGAATAAGACTGTTTTCCATGCCCAGAAAGCACTGCTTCCTAATGTTAGCCACCAAGTTTCTTTCGAGCTCAGCTCAAACACCTCCTCCTGTATGATGTCTTTCCTAATTCTCTCCATATCCTAGAGCCCTTCCCTCTTGTATATATCTAATATATACTTCTATGCACGTAGAGTCTCCTCTGACACAAAGTAAGCTCCCTGAGGTGAGGAATGTTTTCATTTTTGTATTTCTATCCTCACTGCCTATCACATCATCTGACATATAGCTTAATAAAGGGTGAGGAAGGAAGAAAACAAGCATTTATTAAGCACTTACTATGTGCCAGGCACCGTACTAAGCATTTTTGCTTATTGATAAATTGTTTTCCTGATTCCCCTGGTTGCTAGAGTCTCCCCTTGGGGGAAAAAATGTCATTTGTATTTCTTTGGTACATATTCTGCAGATTCTTTTGCACTCCTTGAAGGTAAAAAATTTTATTTTTGTCTCTGTCCCCATGCTTAGTAAAAGTACCTTGCACATAGTAGGTTCTTAATAAATGTTTGCTGACTGATTTGATGGGTCAAGGAAAGAGCCTTCGTCATTTTTCATCTTTATATCCCTAGTGTCCTACACAGTGCTTGGCACATAGTAGGTTTTTTTTTTAATGTTTGTTGACTTTCACAGACTATCCAGATAGACATCCAACTGTGGAGTTTCCACATAGGACAACCTAATTAAGATAACTGAACATAGTAACTTCATCTGACACTAGCAATCAACTAAGGTGACAGCTTAAGTTTAATCTCTAACCTGGGCAGATCTGTATCTGATCATTAGCTGGTTTTCCCTCTATTTCTGTCAGTAAAATCCCATGTGTGTTCATGAGAAACAAGTAAATGATTCAAATCCTAAAAACTTTAGTGACTGAACCACTGGAGAGAAATAAATAGAGTGTAAGGAACCTAGATGGTAAATCAAGAGATTCAGCTAATGATAATAATAATAATAATAATAATAATAATAATGATAATACAGTGGTCCTTCAAGAATCTATGACTTCAGAGCTCTGGACACCTCCTACAACAATCAGGATACCATAGATCTATGATCAGAGGTCATTTAATCCAGCCTCTTCATTTTACAAATGAGGAAATTAAGACTCAGAAAGATACAGTGATTTACCCAAAGTTATACAGGCAGTAAGTGGCAGGGTCAGGATTTGAATCCAGTACCCAGCACATTTTCCTTTTGCTGTCTTCCAAACGAGCCACAGTGGCCTCAAATAAAATAAAAATCATCACCTATGTGACTAAACTTGAACAGAAACCATCATTGGGCCCTTTGGGCTTGAGAGGGCCTGCCAAAGCTCATGTTCCATCACCACAGCCTTCAAGAACCCTGGGTCACCCCTGCCTCATGATGAGACATCCAAATCATTTTCTCCAAATAGACTGGAAACTCCTTGAAGGCAAGGGCTATTTGGTTTTTGTCTTTGTTTCCTCAATGCTTAGCACTGAGCCTGGTACAGAGTAAATATTTACTAAATAAATGCTTGTTGAATGAATAATTAAATGAATTTATTGAAGAGTGATAACAACAAAAAATTATTTACATTTATTTGGTGCTTTACAGTTTATAAAGCACTTTCCTCCTAATGCTTTGAGATAGGAATTATTATCATTGTTCCGTATAGTTATATATATATGTATATATATATATATGTATGTATATATATATGTATGTATGTATATATATATACATATACATTATTTTCTTTATTTTTTTCAAAGGATGAAACTGAGTCTAAAAAAATGTTAAATGACATATACAGCACATGGAATTATTAAGTGTAAGACTAAGGATATAAACCCAAGTTTCCTAATCCTAGATTTAGGGCTCAACTCATCTAAGGGAGCAGGATCTCCTATCCTGTGGATTAAGCTAGCTTTTCCAGGGCCTGACCCCAACACAGGCTAGGCTTAAAAGGTACTGAAAACATCCTCAAGATTTAATTGGCCCAGATGAAGGTTCAAACCATTGAAGTAGCTTCCTGGTGGACTAATTACAAAGGCCAGTGCACAAGAAATCAGAGGCTTCACCCTCAGGCTCCCACCCAGCAGACCCACATGGCCAACACAGAAGTAAGAAAGTTTCGCCCTACTAAATCAGTGTGGTGTCTTAGCTGAACATCCTTTCCATGCTGTGCCTAACCTTTTTTTTGTTAACTGCGAGATGGTCTACCAGTATCCCACTTCATTCCAGTCCCCAAACCCAAATTACTAGACTGGCCTGAGTCAGGCCTGCCCTATAGCATCACAATAACACATTGTCTCTCAGATGTGTGACTAAATAAACTTGTGAATTGGACATATCTCTTCTCCAGGCCTCAATGTCCTAATCTGTAAAAGGAGGTGGCTGGACTAGACAACCCTTCCACTACCAACATTCTGTGACTTCCCTTATAGGTAAACTGCAACCCCAAATCAGAAGGGAAGAATTTTAATAGTTGAAAATGAAATATAAAATAACATTTTATATTTTTCACATAATTTTATTCTCCTACAACCTTAATTTGTGTCTTTTTTTAAGTTTGCACATTAATCA